TCCCCCTCTAAAAATAAATAAGGCCATTTTAAAAAATGTGTCTAAGGGAAACTGAGTCACAGGGAAGCGCCTGGCTTCCCCTTCCCTCCACCCCAGCTTGGAACAGAACTGTGACAACGTATGGATGGGGAAACTAAGGCCAAGAGGGGGCTGACCAGAACAGGCTTCTTCTCCATACCAGCAGGCAATGGAGTGTGAAGAGCTGGAGGGAGGATATTGGGGCTCTGGAGGCTCAAGCTATCCCTTCATCAGGGACTAACAGGCTCCTCAAGCTTCCTGAGACCTAAAGGAGTGGTTTCTGCATGCTGGAAGGGGTCCTCCAGTCTCACACTCCCTGTGATGACCAGGTGCCGTATCATCTCCCCAGGCAATCTGCTCCATCGTGGCAACACTGCTGAGCCAAAAAGCAGACAGTGGCTTTTGTCCTGGTGGGCAGGGTCCTGAGTGTTACTAGGTGAGGCTGTGGACACCCAGCCTAGGCCTGGGCTGGGGGGAAAGAAAGGACAATCAGCTGAGTCAACCCTCCCTCTGGGTCCCAGCCCAGGGAGCCTTCACAGCTTCTCCAGGAAGGCTCCACAGCGACACCTAAAGGGCGAGGAGATGGCCGACAGCCGAGATTTTACCTACTTAAATCTGTTAGCAGTTTTTTCTTTAAAGTGACTCACTTTTAAAAGTTGAAATGCTTACTTCAGCCTCATTCTTAGCAATATTGGTCAAGAAATCATGGACTTGATGAGCTAATTATACATTTTTCTGATATACAGGAAAATACATAATGATTTCAATAAAAATGTTTATTAAGTGGTCTTGAGTGCCTGCCTCCAGGGCTGCATGACCGAACTATAGAGAACCTGCAGTTCACCAATCATGGGAGCTGAAGTAACAGACACCTGCAGTGCAGACCCGGGGTGGCAGACCATGATTACATGCTAACCAAGCATTCAGCAAGGTCAGCTAGTCACTGAGGGCTTCCTGTAGGAGGAGGACCCTGAAAAGCCTAGAAGGATAGGCCAACCTGGCAAATGAGAACAGGTGAGCAGGGACTATAAAGGAGTAGAGTTGCACCAGGCCTGGCATATCTGTGAGGAGAAAATGCCCCACCCTTGATGTGCATACCTCACCTTGAAGTGCATGGTAAGCCCCACCGGAGAGAGGAGAAAACTGAGGCCCAGGCCCCCAGGCAGGGGTCAAGGGAGGACCCTCCTTCACAGGCAAGGTGAGAGGTTAGGGTTAGTGCACGTGTGGCCTGGAAATGCCTTGCACACTCATCACTGAGTATACATCACCCCCCCCCCCATGCCTTTGCTATGGGTGATTTCATCTTCTCGGAGATTCTTGTGCTACCAGGCCTCAGTTTCCCCTCCCATGGCACGAGAGTGATAGGAGGGTGAAGGAAAGAAGTCAGCTCCCCATCTGAGTAATAATATGACCACTTCGAAGTCACTCAGAAAAGACCATAAAACCTGGAGCTCCTGAAGGGCTGGGAAACATCCTAAATCCGCACCTCCGCCCTCCCCTTGTCCTGGAACCAAGGTGGTAAAATGGAGAGGTTATAGGATTGAGGCGTGTACAAGCATCTCTGGGCAATCGGATCACAGACTTCAGGATGGGCACGCTGCTTGAATGCCGTGTAAAGTCTGTCAGTATATGGCGCTGCATTCGCGGGGCAGGGGCATCAGCGGCGTGGAGGGGGCGCCTCATCGCACCCGGGGTGATGCCCAAGGCTGCCGTTGCTTGCAGTGCATTTTTCCAGAAAGGAGTCGAAGAGGGGTTCCGGACGCCCCCTGGTGGGGATTCTGGAGACCGATCCCGGCAGGCCTTCCCTAGGGCGCCTCATCCCGGCTCTAGTTCCCTCCCCGCGTCCCGCTGTCCTCCCCCCGCCCCCCGCCCCGCCGCGACACTGACACCACGCAGTAGTCCGCAAACCGTGTCTCATATGAAGGGAAGGAACACAGCCCGGCCTGGAGCCTCGTGCCCCCTCCCAGGCGGGCATCGGCCGGTTGCCTCCCGGTCTCCTCTGCCCTGGAGCACAGGACAACACTCTGAGCTCCGCTGCGGTCTTTGAAGGCACACGCCGGTCGCCCTTGCGTAAACTCTCTGCGCTCTACGACATCGGGTCATATCCCCGATATGGGGCCCATACAATTCGGGCCAAGCGGAGGAAGGGCGCAGCGTCACATTTCCAGCTGAAATGGTCGCCGAAACGAGAGGATGCTGGCAGAGTAAGCCCGGAGGACCCGCGGGAGTCAAGTGCTGCAACAGAGCCCAACCTCCCCTGGGGGCGTGTCTCCGAGGCTCCGCCCCTTGCGCCGGCAAGTGAAAAGGTGTGTGCACTCGGTCCGGGAGACTCCATCTCCGCCACCGTTTCGGTCTCTGACTCAGCTCAACCGAGCCCCACCACCGCGACCATGCCCCGGGGGAGCCGTAGCGTGTCCGCTCGGCCAACCAGGTGTGAGCGGGACAGGGGCCCCGTGGGGAGAGGGCTCGGGAATCGCGTGTACTCCCCCAAGGACGTAACAGCTCGACCTTGGCGACTACTGCGCCATCTTAGCGGGGGTTATGGGGGAGGGGAGGAAAATATCACAACCACGTGTCTAAGACTGTAGTAGCCCACAGTACAGGAGGAGGAAAGGGGGCATTTCCAGGGGCTGCCGGCCCCTTGGGCCTCTGGCCTGGGGACCGGCCAGGATTAACCCTGCCCCTTCCCACCCCACAGCCGCACTGCCGCACCTTCTGCCCACCCTCCCGCTCACCCGCCGCCCTCGGCTGCCGCACCGGCCCCCGCCCCGTCGGGCCAGCCGGGCCTGATGGCACAGATGGCGTCCACGGCCGCTGGGGTAGCCGTGGGCTCCGCAGTGGGACACGTCGTGGGCAGCGCCCTAACCGGAGCCTTCAGCGGAGGGAGCTCAGAGCCCGCCCAGCCTGCTGCTCAGCAGGTAAGCAACGGGCCTCTTGAGGCCCACTTCTCAGAAGGCCGCGGAGCAGGGAGTACAGCTGGAATGTCCACCGAGTTGTGTCCGGGCATTTCCTGAGCTGCCTCAGGCCCAGGGCCTTGCCCAACCAGGCAGGGTCCTATTTCTCACTGGGCTGTTGCCCTTCTGTCACTCACTGGCAGGCTCTCCCAGACCCTCCCCTGAGGCCAAGGTCCCTAGACTCTCAGGGACAGATGCCAACCAACGCTTTAGAGATGGGGCAGCCCAGGCCCTTAGGGCTCCGAGATCGGCCCGAGGCCACCTAATCCTAGTAGAGGGAAGGGCTGTTGAAGCTCCCGAGTCTCCCTACTCCGACGTCATGCACTGTATCCCTGCGCCCAAGGGCAAAGGGTAGCTGGTGACTGGCCTCTCCTCGACTGGGTGCCCCACCAGTCCTGAGCCAAATGCAGACTTAATGCAGGGTCAGGGGTCATGAGGATCAATGTGGCTGAGCCAGGAAGTTGCTAGAACTTGTGGGGGTGGGGCTCATACTCCAAGAGTACTAGCAGAGCACTCACTGGGCTTTTCTGGATTCTTCTCCCACCTGCCCAACATGCCCCTGAGGAGGCAGCAGGGAGATACTGTCTATCGTCAGCTGGGTGGTGTTAAAAGGGCAGTGGGCTCACCCTGTTTAACAGTTGGAGATGAGTCTGCAGGTCCTGGGTCACTCAGCCTGCCTGGGATCCTTGGGGCCCCTGGGCTGGGGTAGTGGGGAGGGGGTAGGTAGCTCCCCCAGCTTGAGTTGACTTTGCTGCCTCCTGTGCCACCCTAGGCCCCGGCCCGCGCTGCCCCCCAGCCTCTGCAATTGGGGCCCTGTGCCTATGAGATCAAGCAGTTCCTGGACTGCTCCACCACTCAGAGTGACCTGACCCTGTGCGAGGGCTTCAGTGAGGCCCTGAAGCAGTGCAAATACAACCACGGTGAGCGAGTCGCCCCCCACCCAGGCAGGGGCTGGGAGGGACAGCCCCTCTTCCTACACCTGCGGGCTGACCACCAGCCTGTGTCACCCCTTCCTTCACAGGTCTGAGCTCCCTGCCCTGAAGAGACTGGGCCATGCTGGTGCAGACTGGAGCAGACTCAGTAGCGAGCTCTGCACTCACCTCCGCCCCTTCACCGACAGCCAGACTACAACGCCAGAATGTACCCTTGAAGCTGGGATTGGGAGTAAAGAGAGGGTTTCTCACCACACAGGTGACCTGAGACACGAATGTGCAATTAAAAGAGTTTATTTTAGACCAGAACCTGCTGTGTGCCCTCTCACTGGCCTGTCTGCTGGGAGCATCGTGGTTGAAGAGGTGGTAGCGATGATTCACCTCCTGGGTGGGGAGGGAGGAGCCTTGTTGTAATCCCACAGCCTTGGGCAGTCAGGTGGATGGTGAGGTATTAGCAGGTGGCTTCAAGGGCATCTGACTTTGGGAGCTAGAATCCTAGTTGTCTCTCCTCTCAGGGATGCACGCCTCCTCCACCTTTCTTGTCTCTGCCTTTCAATCCCCTTCTCTGCACCCACATCTTAGGCGCCCCTGGCAGCTTCACATCCTGTGTGTGACTTTGCCCTTCTGACTGACACAGCTCAATAATTCAAGATTCCATGAGAGGAATGCTGCTGGGCCGCTGTCTGCTTGGGCCTGATCACACAAGGCAGAGGTCATGGCCAACCTTGGATCTGAGTCCAGCTTGGCCACTAGACTGTGGTGTGCCCAGTCACGGGGCCCCACCATCACGTGTGCTGTGGCCTTCATGGAATTGATTTAGCAGCTCTGCATCGAGCACCTACTGAATGCCGGGCCCAATGCCACATCTCCTGGGCACTGAGGATGTTCTTGTCCTGGGGCACTTATACTCCAGCGGCGTGCTGGGCACCTGTCTCTAGGGACAGTATGTTCCCTCTTTCATGTATATGTGCATGTGTCCTGGGGGCTTCCTATCCCTCTCAGTACACAGGTGTCTGTCCCCTGGGAAAGAACACCATTTCTGGGTGTGACTGTCCACCCAGGTACCCATGTCTCCTTACCTGGCTGTTGGCCCCAGCTAGCGGGTCCTGGACAGCAGGGAGCCCAGCCTTTGGGGCCTTGAAGGAGAACCTTGCTCCTGGTGGCCACGCCGAGTGCCAGTTCGTCTCCTCCGTCGATTGCCCGTTGGGGGTAGGCCCGACAGCCAGCATAGCTCCTCTAGAAGGCCCAGGGAGCCCTGCCTGTCGGGGCTGGGGAGACGATGCTTCCTCCCCACCCCAGGGCTCTACCATGATACTCACCTGCCAGCTCTGGGCACCAATCTTCCAGGTTTTCCAGTAGGGACTCATAGCGAGTAGGGGCCCCATCCTCCCCATCTGTGGAGGTAAAAAGAGAGGCTTTTGACTGGCACCTGCTTCTCACTGTAGACCTGGCTCAGGCTGGGGTCAGGACCAGGCATTGGGTAAAAGGGTCAAGGCTAGGTTCTGGCCAAAGGGTCAGCCAACAATTCTTGGGCCCCACTTACTAATGATCTGCACGAGGACATAGGTCCCACGCTCCTGCAGCAGGGTGCTACCTGTGGAGGGTTCCTGGGAAGCCCCCTCCTCCAAGTCTTTGCTCAGGATCACCAGGTGCCCATCCTCACCCAGGAGGGCCACGGTTGCTAGGAGGGCAGGGAGGAAGGCAGTGCAGGGCTGGTGCCCATGCCTGCAGCCCTGGGCCCCCTCCACCCCATCACCCCTCCTTGCCCCTCACCATCTGGAAGCACCTGCCCCCTCTGCCTTAGGTGGGCAGTGAGAGTCACCAGGCTGCACCAGGGGTTCACCAGCTCCCAGCAGCCAGCTGTAGGGGAGGAGCAGAGGTGAATGAATGAGCCTCTCTATTTTCCCCCAATCTGGGGCCATATGTCTCTCCCATTTCTCTCTTTTTTTTTTTTACCGAAGTGATTTGTTTCATTGAGGTACAATTTACATAACATAAAATCCACTATTTTAACCAAAGTATACAATTCAGTGGCATTTGGTATGTTCACAGAGTTGTACAGCCATCACCTCTATTTCTAAAATACTTTTGTCACCCCCAAAAGTAAGCAACATCCCCACTAAGCAGTTACGTTTTTTCTTTTCTTTTTTCCAATTCCAGTTGACATTCAATATTATTTTGTATTAGTTTTCAGTATACAGCATAGTGGTTCTCCCATCTCTTAACCACAGCAGGGAGTAGGGCTGTGGGACCCGCTGTACCCGCCCATCACCCACCTCCCCAGACATCAGTGATGGGCGCACAATTCATGCCTCTCGTGCTGGACAGCCTCCTGCACCAGCTTCCTGCCCTCAATGGACCCCTCCCACTGGGGGCTTGCAGATTGCAGCTGGCTGGAGTTCAGGTGTCTGAGGCACCCTGGACTTTGAGGATCACTGACTGAATTAGTAGCAGAGAGATCACGCAGTTTAAAAACACCTTCCGTGGGAGCAGCATGGCAGAAGCTCTAGGAGAGGGGCCCGTGTGAGTTTCCTGGTACCCAGCCAGGCTCTCCCCTTCCAGGGACTCACTCCAGGCACTAGTTCTGCTTCCTCACAGAACATTCCTTCCCCAAAACCCCCATCCCCTTCCCCACACTGCCTCCACCCTCTCCCCAGGGCAGAGGGAAGCAAGCTGAGTGTACCATTCCCCACCCATCTGCTGGGACAGGGCACCTTACTTACCTCCAAACATCACCGTGATAAACATGGTTGCAAGGGAGAGAAAACAGATGTGGGGGCTTTGGTACCCCAATGTCTGACTAAGGAAGGAACTGGGGCTGAGATCTACTCAGGGTTGGAGCCCTGCAGGGAGTTATGGGTGTGTGTGTGTGTGTGTATTAGTGGGTGACGAGTAGGTGATAGGTGGGTGGGCCCGGGCTGAAGTCCTTACTTGGCCTCCTCTTCCTCCTGCTGGCTGGGTCAGAGTAGCAGGAGGAGACAGGCCCTCCCAGCTTCCAAGCTGGTCTCCATGGTAGTGGGAGCTGCCAAGACATCCAGGCAGGAAATGCCTTCCCCTCAGTACCCTGGTAACCAGATCTGAGGCAAGGCTACAGTGGGGCCTGGAGCCTTGGTTTCCAGGGACATCCAGAGACCACATTCTCCCACCATTAGAGACTGAGCTCCCAGACTGAAAGTGGGGGAGGTTCCTGGGGGTGGTCACTCACCACTGTGAGCTGGTAGCTGCCGACACGGGGTCCTCACCGACCTTGCGGGCTCCCCACCAACTCAAGGCCCGTTCTCTGCCCCGTGCTCCTGTTCTTTGCCTCTGCCTTCCTCTTCGTTCCCAGCCTCCCCCGTTTTCCTCTGTTCTTGTTTTTTTTTTAAGTTTGAGGTAAAATTTATAGACGGTAAAATTCACCCTTTTGAGTATTTTAAGTTTTGACAAATCTCATGTAACTACCACCACAGTTGGGATACAGAACATTTCCATCACTTCCCAAAATGTCCTCACGCCCCTTTGTAGTCGACTCCAGCCTCTGGCAAGCGCTGCCTTTTCCAGAACGTCCTATGAAGGGACTCATACAGGACGGGACCTTCTGAGTCGTGTCTCTTTCACACAGCATAATGCATTTGAGATTCACCTGGGTTGTCCTGTGTATCCATGGTTTGTTCCCACACAGAAACAGTTATATGTACAGTTACATGTATAGTTACACACACATATGGTACATGTATATAACTACATGTATATATGGGGTTTGTTGCTTTCTATCTCTGGGGGAGTCCCATTGTCTGGGTGCACCACAGTTTGTTGATCCACTCACCTGCCGTTTTGGGTTGTTTTTAGTTTTGGGCGATTATGATAAAGCCAGTGTAGACATTCGCTTACAGGTTTTTGTGTGACTCAGTGTTTTCATTTCTCTAGGATAAATACCACAGGAGAAATTCCTGGGTCATATGATGATGAGACTCTGTTTAACTGCACGGGAAACTGCCCATGTTTTCCGGCATGGCCGCGCCGTTTTTCCTTGTCCCTCTCTCGTCCGGCTGTGGCTAGACCTCCCAGAGGCACGGCCGTCCCTCTCACCACCTCTCTCTCTCTCCCGCCTGTCTCGCCATCTTTCCCTGTCTCGTATTTGTCTGTCTGTCCTGCCCTCTTCTCCTCCCTCCCCTCCATCTGCCTCTCCCTTGGTCTTTCTCTGTGTTCTCACGTTGTTTCTCTGCCTCTCTGTCTGTGCCCCACCTCCCCCTGACTTCTTCTCTCCCTCCCTCTTTCTCTCACTTTATCATCCTGCCTCTTTCCTCCTCCCTAATCACCTCTTCTCCCCATTTCTGTCTCCTGCCCCCTCCCCATGTTCCCCACCAGCCAGGGTGCCCAACCTTTGCCAGCTCCCTTTTCCCCAAGTGCTCAGAACCAGCGCTGTGGAAACAGGCGGCATTTCCCAAACTTATTTAAACACGGGACACTTTATGCCGGGGACACCACTGTATCTGGGGAGCTGAGCCCTGCAGAACCACAGCTCAGGGGCGGCTGCAGCCAGATTCTGAAGGAATGGCCCCTCTGGGCCCTGGAGCCTCGGCTCTGACAGCCGCCATTGTGGTCAGTGAGCTCTGCCTTCAGTGCGGTTGAGGGGTCTTTTTATCTTGAGGGTTGTGGAGATGCGGGGGTGTCTGGAATGCACTGGGACCCATGTTGGGGGGTGTTTATAATAAACCGCCAAAGGAGCTCCCAGGCTGCGAGGTAATGAGAGTGCACTGTTTCCATTAGTTTTATAATATTATTATTTAGGCCTGGTAAGGCTGGCAGAGCAGTAGATGATTGCCATGGAGAAGATAGTTTGTTACAGTCCCCAAGAGGAGGGGGGACACTGCGTCCCTGGGGAGGAGGTCACATGGGGAAGCACTGGGGTGGGTCATCTGGAGGCACAGGGATGGGGGCAACTGGGGGACCAGAGCCTTTATTGGAGTTCTAGAGGGAAGGGACAGGCTCAGGAGTAATTTCAGAAGGTTCTAGGGGCTATTCCCGATCAGCTGTACCTGGGTGGTTAGGGCAGGAGGATAGAGAGCCCAATAAAGGTGGTAGGTGGGGGTATGGGCTCAGGATCACTTGGTTTGCATTTGGAAAGTATCTCTAGGAGCTGGCTAACCCCGGGAGGGTCAGCCCTCTAAGGTCGGCAAGGCCCCAGATGTCAAAGTATCAGAACTCAGGAAATAAATGGTGTGATGGATACACGGGCTGTGCCTAGCAGGGGGTACACAGTCCTGTCTTTACGTTTTCATGATGCTGGAGCTAGCACTATGCTTATCTTCATTTTCCAGATGAGGAAACTGAATCCAAGACAGTCAGCTCCACTCCATCTGGCAAATTAAGGCGCTGACCACATCAAGGCTGGTGAAGATATGAGTCACTCACCCACTGGTGGGAGCGCTGGCAGCATCCACTACAGATGCACGTACACATTTCCTACCCCCAGGCAATTCTAATGCTGAGTGTCTGTCCAGCAGAAATGAAAACACAGGTGCATCACAGACATTGACAGGATCGTTCACAGCAGTTTTATTTGTAAAGGCCAAGGGCTGGAAAGCACAGGAAATGACAGGATAATGGGTAAACTAATTCACACAATGGATCACACATGGCTATTAGGATGAATTAAATATCACTGCACATTCTGGATGATGGCCATAATGTTGAACAAAAGGAGAAGGAACAAAAAAGGATACACTCGCATTTCATTATGGGAGGTTCTAGAGCAGGCAAAACCGACCTAAGTGATTGAAGGCATAATGACGGTTGTTATGGTTGGGGGTGGGGGAAGGTGCGGGGGGATGAGAGAGTTTTCTGGGGAAATGGAAATGTTCTCAATTTTGATCTGTGTAGAGGTTGCAGGGGTGTGTGTGTGTGTGTGTGTGTGTGTGCGTGCATATGTATCTTATCTACAAAATCACTGAGCCATACTTCAAAGATTTGTGCACTTTATCATATGTGAGGTACACCTCAGTGTAAAAGCAGCCCATTCTGTAACGCATGTGTGGATTTCGGCTCCTGTTCTCAGAAGGCCCTGTGAGGTCAGGACGCTCACGTTTGGGAAGATAGGGCCTGGCAGTTGGGGCCCAGCCACCGCCTCCCCCCACCCATCAATGGGCTGATTTGCATGCCCTGTTGTGGCCCAGTTGCCTCCCCTGCCTGTGCCCTAAAGCACCTGGAGCACGCCCAACAGAACACTCCCGTCTGCCTCCCTGCTGCTGGCAATGGCCTGGTGGCACCTGGCCCTCCTTCTGATTGGAGACCTCTTGGCAGGTGAGCCCTTCCTGGGCCTGGCTTACCTGGGGGTGGGGTGGGGGACAGCACTGGTTGCAGAGGCCTCCTGCAAGGGAGCAAACTGATGTGAGCCGTGGGAGGATTCTAGAAGGGGCTCTGAGGTGGAGGGGAAAACTGGCTATAGGTGGCTCTGCCCTAGACCTAGGGCAAGTCACTTCTCTGTGTGGGGCTCAGTTTCTCCACTTCTGAATGAGCAGATCACCAGGATCCCTTTGAACTTTGACTCTTTAGGGTCTTAGAAGGGACTAGAACAGGTCACCTTTTGAGTTTTTCACAGGGGAAGCTGGTGTGGGCTGGTCCTCACCTCACGGTGTCTCAGGAACAACCAAACTCCAGGAAAGTCCCCAGCATCCAGGTGCCTGAGGCTGAGCTGATGGGTGGTACAGCCCTGGGACCTTCCTGGAGGGGGTGAGTCTGTAGCCAGGGTGTGGAGGAGCCAGTGTAACCAAGGGGCTAGGGGTCTTCAGGACCCTGAGGGGTAAGAGTAAGCAACAGAAGGAACCAGGGGCCACCATCCCACCTTGTAAACTCTAGGTCCTCCATTGAATACAGATCCTTGGGAACATCCTTGTAAACTCTAGGCCCTCCACTGAATACAGATCCTTGGGCGCTAATAGGGATTTAGGAGTCGCCATCTTGCTACCCTATCCAGTGCCGACGCCATGGCACCAGGTCAGGAGCCCCTCAGGAACAAGAATCATTTGGGAGACTGATGGAGACTTCATGAAGCAGGGGTGGGAGAGAAGGGGCCCAGGCTAGGCCTGAGCAGGTCTGTCTCTCTCAGTCTCTCAGCCAGCTCTGACCCAGCCAGATGTACAGTTGGTCTTCCCAGGCCAAGTGGCCCAACTCTCCTGTATGATCAGCCCTCGCCATGCCACCATTGGGGACCACGGAGTGTCTTGGTACCAGCAGCGAGCAGGGAGCGCCCCCCGCTATCTCCTCTACTACCGTTCAGAGGAGGATCACCACCGCTCCCCAGACATCCCGGATCGTTTCTCAGCAGCCACAGATGCAGCCCACAATGCCGGCATCCTGATCATCAGCCCCGTGCAGCCAGAGGATGATGCAGACTATTACTGCTCTGTGGGCTACCTATCTTAGGGGTGGGGTGTGGGATGAATGCCTCCTGTCTGTCTCCCACTTCTGTCCTCGACCTTAGGCCCCTCTCTAACTTTCTCTGAGCCTTGATGTTCCTCCTCTGTAAAATGGACTAATAATATCTGGCATGTCAACAATGACTATTCTAAGGGCCATGAGATCCCTGCTGAAAAAGTGACTGTGTTTGATCTGGGAAAGTGGAGGAGGGCATTCTGGGGCTTGGTGCAAAAGAGGAAGAACTTGAGACTCTTGGGGCAGGGTCCAGCCTCTCCACTGGTCCCCAGAGGGATCAGATGGGTAGCCTGGCCTTCCTGTGACCCAAGGTACTGGAGGGAGAAAAAAGGAACCAACCCTTGCCACTCCCAGCTCTGCATGGCTGGTTGTGGTCCAATGCTCACTCGGTGACAACTGGGTCCCCATGGAGCCCAGGCTGCTAGGTAGGGGAGGGACAGCCCCTGCCTACTCCTTGATGGGACAGGGAGGCTGGTGACAGGTGTGAGTGTGCGTGTGTGCAGGGCACTCAGAGGCACCTGAGGGCCAGGGTGAAGGGTGCTGAAGACATGCGGGCAGATGACAGGGGCAGAGTGGGCAGCATCCCCCCTCTCGGGAACACGTGTCCTTCTGGTTTCCCATGAGAGGGCTGTGCAGCTCCCCCAACCCGGGGTGGGGGGAGCCGCACATGCAGGTGGGCCCAAAGGCAGCACTGGGGGTGGGGGTAGGCAAGTCTTGCCATCAGAAGCAAAGCTGAGTGTCTGGGAGTGGGGTAGGGGTTCAAGAACACACTCGTCTTCCCCGCCCCTCCTTCCCCTAAGAGGCGCCTCATGCCAGGACGCCATCCCTCAAATACCCTGAGTCTAAAGAGGGTCCGCCTACACTCCCGGCCATCTGGGAGGCCCTCAGCGGGCCCTTCCTCTCCCCTCCGTCTCTGTGGTGGCAGGGTGGGCAGGCAGATGAACCAGGAAGGATGAATCGTTACAGGATCCCTGGACCTAGGAGAGGTGACAGGCTCCACTCTAGGATCCCCTTCTCCTTCTCTTGAAGATCCCAGACGCCCCCAATGTCCCTGGCTTGCCCCCACCTCCAGGAAAAAGGGCAGCGAGTACTGGGCCTCCTGCCTGCGGCAGCCTGTTTCCTCCCCTGCAGTCCTGCCAGCGCCTGCCCAGCTGTTTTCCTCCCAGCCAGGATGCACTTAGGGGCAACTCAGAGCCACTGCGTCGGACTGGAGAGACTCTCCAGATCCCTGTCCTTGAGCTCTAGAGCCAGGAGGGTACGCACGGGGACGCCCGGCGCGACGGGACCACAGAGACGCGTGGACCTCCGCGCGGCCTAGAGCAGTCCCGGAAGTGCCCGCGGGTTGGGGGCGGGGCTCCGGGCTCTCGGGCCGCCACGGGCTCCGCGTCAGCAGCTGCCGGGGAGCGAGGCCGGTCGGCCACGGGTTGGAGCAGCTCAGGTGCAGCCCCGCCCCGCCCACCCGCGGCCCCGCCCCGACCTAGGTGAGCGGCTCCGCCCAGGCCCAGGTGAGTGGCTCCGCATCAGCCAGTGTTCCCACCTGTCCCTCAGGTGGTCCGGGGTGCGGACGTCCCCATTGGTGGGAAGCATGTTGGGGAACCGGCGTCGCCGCCCGGGCGGCGTGTGCTGTTCCGCGGCCGCTGGTGGTCCTCCAGCCGGGAAACCCTCACCGGACCGTGGGTCTGCCTCGTGCCCGGCCCTGTGGGCTCCTAGAGAATGGGGTGATGGGTGCTGGAGGAGCCGGGAAGGCCCGAGGGAGGTGGAAAACATGGGGTTCCATACCTTTGGCTTTTCGATCCAAAAACGTTTAAAACATCGTTGCGACTGTAAGGATTGCCAACTTTTTCAACAGAGTGGAGACTTAAGGGTGTACGTGGTACTTAGTGGGAATGGAAAACTCCTAAGGAGGAAACCTTGGAAACACCGTGATTTAACAGGTGGGTGGAAGAAGAGTTGCAGTCCACAGATATCAAGAAGGAGGGATCTAAGGGCGTGACAACTGGGGGCGGGGGGTACCTTTCAGAAACCAAGGGAATAAAGTGGGGGTGTGGGAGTGGGGGTGCTTTGTCCAGCAAGCTCAAAGCCTTGAGGCATCCAGGTAAGCAAGGTGGGTTTAATAAAGGGGCGGGCCCATGTTGTCACATCTTCCAGTTTATCAAGAGAAAGCCAGAAACCTACTGAGTTTTCCATATTGGCAGCAAAGTCAAACAAAAAGGAAAAGCCCAACTCTTTTGAGAGCCAGACAAAACGTGTCTGTGGCGGAATCCCCAGGCTGCCAGCTTGCAACCTCTAAAATGAAGGGTTTGGAGAAGGAGGTATTGGTGAGCAGTGCCAGAGGGTGGGGGAGCGAGGGCTGAGAGGAGAGGGATTGGCAGTAAGGAGGTCATTGGACGCTGGAGCTGAGTGCTGGAGTTCCAGCTGAAATTGGAAACTCGAAATCACACAGTCGCATGATTTTCCTTGGCAACATTGAACATTTTAGGAGGAATGGGTAGAGAAGGAATTAGTGGCTGGTTGCAGAAGGGCAAGTTGGTGAGGGATGTGATGCTGGTCAGAGAGTTGGCGGAAGTGATGTCTGTCGTTAGACCCACTGCAGATGGAGAGGGTCTCAGCCACCCGGGCACAGGCAGAGCTAGATGAGGAGTTAGCTATGATGAGGCAAGTGGGAGAACTGGGAGGGCTGGAGACTGTGGGCGCTGAAGAGGAGGTAAAGAAGGAGCAAAGAAGACTCATTAAAGTGGCTGAAAATTCATTTAAACATATTTCCAAATAGAAATGGGATCCATCGTGACTATTCCAATTAATTTAGTGTGTTTTTCTTTTGAGCCAATTACTGCCTAAGCTTCAGGGAAGGAATAATAGTACCTTTGTATAGATTTGTGAGGATTAAATGAGATCTGTTTGTAAAGGCCTAGCAGTGCCTAGCACAGAGCAGGTAGATGATCAAGAAGCATGAGCTGTCATCATTATGGTACCTGGGGAGTTTCCCTTTAGCTGCACACATGTTTCTGGATGGGGTCCTGAGGGGCTCCCTCAGGGGCCACCACACCACAGGGATGGGGGACCAAGTGGGAGTGTTCCAGCCCCCTTCTTTTTTCCTACAAAAACACCCCCTCCAACTGGAGCAGTCATGCTTTTGTATGTTTTATTTATTTATATCTCCCAGAGAATTAACTTTTTTTTTGAGTAAAAAGTTCAAGTGTGACAGTCATTTCTAGCACAAAACCAGATGGCTTTTCCTCCATTCAGTCATCTAGTAATTCAACAGATGTGTGTGTAGAGATTGCCCTGTTGTGCTGGGGGCTGGGGCTTCCAAATTGAAGAAGCACAGGACTCACCCTGAGGAGCTCACAGGCAGTGGTGGGGAGGGTCCTGTCAGCCCACGTTTGCCAAGGTGGCAACTGCTTGGTGGCCCACAGGCCCTGTGCACCGTGGGCCACCAGGGGCTGTGCCTGATTTCATCAGTCTGCTGGTGAAGAGAAGAGGGAACATTTGGAGTGAGTCTGGGAGGATGAGCCGGTGGAGTCTGAGAAGAGGGAGGGACCTGGTAGGCGGAGGAAACAGCAGAGCAAATGAGTTGTTGAGCTGGAAGGTTAGGGGTGTGTGAAAGGAGAGGCAGGGGTGGGCTGGAAGGGCCTATGAAGGAACTGAGCTGTCCCAAGATCCTAGGAAAAGAAGTGACACGGCCAGGCCTGTGCTTTGGGTCTCTGTCACTGGTGCCGATGTAGAGAGCAGAGCAGAGGAAGGCGTGGAAGTTGGAGGTACGTAGCCAGTTGGGAGGTGAGTATTGAAATAATGTCATGGGGTTGCACTGAGGCCTGAGCTGCAGAATGGCAGCCAGGACAGAGAGGCAGAGACCCCTTCAGTAAAGCCCCTGGAAGTGGACAGGACAGGACAGGACAGGACATGTGGGTGAGAGAGGAAGGTTTAGGCTGACTCCCAGCATTCTTGGCTGGGGCACCGGAAGGGAGAAAGTGTTCTCTCTCTCTCTCTCTCTCTCTCTCTCTCTTTCCCCGCCCCACTCCCTCTCTCCTCCCCCCTCCCCCCCTCACTGCCCCCAACAAAACCCCACCGCTGACACCTTCCAGTAGTCGGGATATTGCTCCTTCTCCACATGGCTCCGCTTCCTGCTCTAGCCCACCTTTCTGAACATCCTCAGCCTTTAGAGTGGACACCATACTGCGGTGCTTGATCCTGTATTTTCTGTCTTTTTTGCAGTTGTTTCTGATAAATCAAACTTCTCTAACTCGGTGGGGATCATCTCAAGTGCAATATTGTTCCTTATACTTATTTTGTCGTATCTACCATTGTTTCGGGGAGGAGGCCTGTGTTTGGTATGTACTTGACTGCCAGCTTGACGATGTTCCTTGTTTCCTTTTCAGATTGTAAGAAAAGTAAGAGTGCCCCGAAGAACGTCTTTCAAGAAATATAGTTGTTGGGGGTGATACTAGATCCACAATGGAGGTTCCCCCAGCAGCCAAGCTTGGGGAGACCTTTGTGTTTGAAGATGGGTTAGAGATGCACCGAGATCTCTTCCCAGAGGAGGACCTGGGGGACTCATTCCTTCAGGAAAGAGGTTTAGAGCAAATGGCTGTCATCTATAAGGAGATCCCTCTCGGGGAGCCAGACGAGGAACACGATGACTACGGGGGGAATTTCAGTCTGTGCGCGAGCCCTGTTCAGCATCAGAGTCTTTCCCAAGTAAACAAACCTCAGGATGATGAGCTATTTGGCCCAGCCTTCCTCCAGAAATCAGACCTTAGTATGTGTCAGTTACTCCATGGCGAAGAAGAACCCAGTAAACATGACTGTGACCTAGTAGGGAGAGGGGACTCGGGACCGAATGACCCTCACAGAACGGCACAGCCACCGAAACCCTATGCGTGTCGGGAATGCGGGAAGGCCTTCAGCCAGAGTTCGCACCTGCTCAGACACCTAGTGATCCACACCGGGGAGAAGCCCTACGAGTGCTGCGAGTGCGGGAAGGCCTTCAGCCAGAGCTCGCACCTGCTCCGACACCAGATCATCCACACCGGGGAGAAGCCCTATGAGTGCCCGGAGTGTGGGAAAGCCTTTCGCCAGAGCTCGGCCCTCACACAACATCAGAAAACCCACACTGGGAAGAGACCCTATGAATGCAGGGAATGTGGGAAGGATTTCAGCCGGAGCTCAAGTCTCAGAAAACACGAGAGAATCCATACCGGAGAGAAACCTTATCAGTGTAAGGAATGTGGCAAATCCTTCAACCAGAGTTCGGGCCTGAGCCAGCATCGCAAAATCCACACCCTGAAGAAACCTCACGAGTGCGATCTCTGCGGGAAAGCCTTTTGTCACCGGTCCCACCTCATTCGGCACCAGAGGATTCACACGGGGAAGAAACCGTACAAATGTGAAGAGTGCGGGAAGGCCTTCAGCCAGAGCTCCAACCTCATTGAGCATCGGAAGACCCACACCGGGGAGAAACCTTACAAGTGCCATAAGTGCGGGAAGGCCTTCAGCCAGAGCTCCTCCCTCATCGAGCACCAGCGGATCCACACCGGGGAGAAGCCTTACGAGTGCGGCCAGTGCGGGAAGGCCTTCTGCCACAGCTCTGCGCTGATTCAGCACCAGAGAATCCACACTGGGAAGAAACCCTATGCGTGCAACGAGTGTGGCAAAGCCTTCCGGCACAGGTCGGCCCTCATCGAACATTATAAAACCCATACCAGAGAGAAACCCTACGAGTGTAACAAATGTGGCAAGTCCTTCAGGGGGAGCTCACACCTCATTCGGCATCAGAAAATCCACGCTGGGGAGAAGCTCTAGGAGGAGCAGCTCACGCCAAAGCTTGAAAGCCTTTCTCAGACAGAGCCTGCACCTGGTCACTTTGCCTGCAAGGCCCCACCCACCTTCCAGATAACAGTGCTGAACCTGGGTGCTCCTGAACACCTACAACAGCGGCAAGACCCCCTCGTGGCCAGGAGCCCTGGGGGCAGTGGGCTTACCGAGTGAGAGGCGGGGGTGGAGGGTAGGAGGCTGCCAGAGTGGCTGTGCGCCTGAGAAGGGCCTTCTCATTCTCACATTTGGCTTCCAAGCCTGTGAAGTTCAGTGTTTCCCTCTGTTCCAGAATCCAGAGGGGGAATAAATGTAAGGAGGGAGAAAGCTGAGTTAAACCCGTGAAAATGTCAGGTGAGAACTCTTCGACATCAGGCTACAGTCTGGCACTTTTAGAAGAAGTAACAATTCTCACAGTCCAAATTAGCTGAAGAAAAAATGAATCCAAAAAGTAGTTACCTCACCACAAAATGGAATCTTCTGCCTGGCCTGGACGCTGGTGGAGAACAGGGTATGGAACAGAGAGTCTGGAAGGACTGGGTCTGGAACTGAGGGTGAGGGTGTGAGGCCCTGATGTGGTCCTTTAATCTGGGTCTGTGGTGGAGTGAGAGCAGCCTCTCTCCCAGCGGAGTAGGGGTTCAGTTGGTGCCCAGCTCTGACTCAGCCCAGGCCCAAGGCAGAGCGCCCTCTGGGAGTGGGCCCTCCAAGACCCAGGGCTCCCGAGACCTCAGCGTGTCTTGGACATCAGCAGCAGGCGCAGCTCCAGGCTGGCAGCTCTGCAGCCTCTGGAGCCTCTGCACCTTCCAGCGTGGGGTCAGGCGGGGGTAGAGGGGATGCCGGAAGCAGGGTGATTCAGTCAGAGGTCCAGACCTCTGGGTCCAGGTCTCGGTTCTGTCCCTCCTACCTCTGTGACCTTGAGGAAGCCCCAAGGCTCCACTTTCCTATCTGTGAAACGGGGATGGTGGGGCCTGGCCATGAACTTCTCAGGACTGGCGCAAGGCTTGCATTCAGAATGAGGCCACATACAAAAGTGCTTTGGCAACTGGTGATTGAGTGTGGGTGCCGCACTGGAGACACTGTCCCTGAAACCTGGAGAGACATCCCGTCTGGTCCCTGAAATGGCAGAGCTTGCAGCAGGCCCTCACTAACCCAGGCTTTCCCATACTCCCTCAGGCTTGCCGCCCGGGCTGGGGGCGCCCCGTTTGTCCTACATGCAGATGTTTCCTGGGGGCCATCCTGAGCCGCCCTGCAGTGGCAGTGCAGTCTGTGTCCCTGCATGTCTCTCTGTCTTCCTCCTGCCAGCTGGTGTTCAGCCGGGGGTGGGTCCCATGTGGACCAGTCGTGGGCATCCCCAGAAGGGGGTGGGGCTCAGTGGTGTGTTTTTACAGCTCCCAGGCAGTTATGTGTCCCCACACACACCCCAGCCATTATGTGTCCCCACACACGCCCAGGCCATGAGCCCTGTGCTGGGCACCATGCAGCCCCAGCACCTCCCAAATGTCAGGCCAGCTTGCCTGGACTGAGGAGAGCTTGAAGGTGGCCATTGCCTCTTAGTCCCCCAGGAGTGGGCTCTGGCAGGGACGCTGCAGGGTCTGGCTAGTTGGTAATTGTCCTGGGCCCTTAGGCCTTCGGGTGGCCCTGGGAATCATTGTACTGGTTCCCCCCCCCGCCCCCCCCCCCGCCCCAGGCTTCTCAGCTAGTGTGGGAGGAGGCAGTCTGAGCTATTTTGAAGTTTTCCAAACATTATGGCTGGAATCACATGAATGCATTGGGGTGAAGCTGGTAATTTCAGCTCATCAGAAGCTCAGCTTGGCCATTATGCGTAATTGGATGAATAAAATGGGAGAGCCATAGTTGTTACTGAGTAAGTGGGGCTCGAGAGCCAGAGATTCGATTTTATTATTAAACAAAAAAATTATTTTAATGCTCTAACCAACTAAGCTCTCCGGCCAAGGCAGTTGCCAGAGATTTTAAAAGGACTGGTCTGGTGGCTGGGACATCACTTCTCTCCAGGTCCGCCCTCTGCTGTGTGAGTGTGTGAGACGTTAAACTGCCCCCCCACCCCAGGGGCCCCCAGGACCTGCTTCTCCACCTGCCAGCTGTGGCGCCTGGGCACTGTCGTCATTTACCAAGAGAGGGGAGAGAATGCTGAGACCCCTGCTTGGTGCAGGTGACAGCAGCCACCCTGCCCCCACCTACCTCCTTGGCGCCCCTCTCCCCTTGTCCCTGGCAGGCGGTCATCTGTTTCCTTCCACATCCTTCTGGAAAAGGCGCAAGATTTACAGGACCTGAAGAGAAACCAGAGCATTCCTTCCACATCCTTCCTACACCAGAACCAAACTGAATTTTTTTAAAGCATCACTTTGCACATGTCACTACTCCCTTCAAAACCAGCCTTCCGGGGCTTTTCTGCACACAGAGCCCTGTTTCAGCCGACCCTCCTCCACCCTCCCTAAGCAAGCCGCACGGAGTTGGAGTTCGTGCGGCCTCTGTCCTTCTCAACTCGCTCCCAGCTTCTCCCAACTCCTCTTATGCTGTTCTCGTGTCTTGGAATTTGCACTTTCTCGTCCTCCCCCACCTGTCTCCTTTCTTCCTTTTGATGGTTAATGTAACGCAGGATAAAAACCCCTTTCTGAAGGGTTGACGGAGTTTCAAATACGGTGAGACCAGGAACCTCTCACCTTTGGAAGTGTGAGTGGAACCTAGTTCCTTCTGTTCACTTTCTTTCGCTGTTCCATGATGTTTGAATTCCTTCCATTTGATTTAGGTCCTCAGCGTAATGTTGTGAGACATTGCCCTGGTGACGGTCTAATCGTCCTTGAGTTTAGTCGTTTCTGTCGTCTTTCTTTTTCTCGTGGCAGATGTTGGGTGTTGTAAAAGTCCAACTCTTGATTTTGTTTACTAACCATTGTGTCAAAGTATATGTATTCTCTTCTGTTTTCTTTTTTTTTGGCTTAATGTTTTGTTTCTAAGATTAATTATTAGCTAATCATATTTTTAATGTTTCTGGCAAATGTGGGTACTTTGGTCTACAGTTTTTTTTCTTACAGTTATAGCCTTTTCTGCACTCAAGTTGGACATGTGGTATTTTCTGTTATTATATTAGGAATTTCCTTTTGACCTAAATGTTATTACTTTTCATATTCCCAAGTGTTGAATGCTTAAGTCATTGTTATTTCTTACTGTATTGTGGTGTCAACGTTTCGAAGTATCCATAGAACTTTGTTGGGCCTGAGTATATTATCAGTTTTTATAAAGCATTTGTGTACTCTCGAGAAATGTGTTCTTACTCCATCAGTTCTATTTGTTAAGACAGTTTTTAAACTATTTTACTCAAACTCATATTTTCTCTGGCTTTTGCTTACTTCGGAGTTCTGAGCCTGGGGTCCATGGATGGCCTAGGAGCCTGTGAGCACACGGGGCTTTTAAAGACTGGGGACCCCTAGGGACCGAATAAAGCTCTGTGGGTATACATGTATGAATAAATCATTCTGGGAGAGGGGTCTGTAGCATTACTCACATTTTTCAAGGGCTCTGCAACCCCAAAATAGTTAAGAACACTCATTTACTTGATCTAATTGCAGTGAGATTTTATGTTTTTTTCTTTATGTATTTCTGTTCCCCTTTAATTTCGGTTCCTCTTCTACGCGCGTGGTGTTGCTGTGTTACCACACAATTACCGCAGCTCTTTTTGGAGACACAGGCAAGGTGTACATTGTCCGGAAGTACCGTGGTACTTGGGGTCCGTGTATTTACGGTGACCTGTGGAAAAACTGTGCCTTTCGCTGCCTTCTTTGCCTCTTGTACTGCTTCTGGCTCACACTTCTCTTTTCCAGACCCCTTAATGGAGGCCCTTTGCTTTTCTTGATTCGCATTTGCATGAGAGTTTATTTAGCTCAGCATTTTAATTTTTAAATTTGTGTATATATTTTGCTATATCTCTGTAACTTATAAATACCAAATTGTCAATTTTTATTTTCTGATTCTTTCTGTAATTCTTTGTTCTTGTGTAAGAAGTTCTGTTGTTAACATTATTGTTTAGAGTAAGGCATAATTTTTATTTTAATGTTTTCATATTTGCTAACTCATCCAACCCCGAAAGGCCATGCTCGTTCAGGTGTGGAGTGTCATTTCTGGGCAGACTGGGAGTCTGCCATTGGGCGCACCTGTGCCGCCTTACCTTCCTCAGGGCCAGGCTCCGTCCCGAGCCCGCTCTTCAAGTCACAGCCCCCGGTTGCCATGGCCTTGGCTGTGATGGGAGGAATTAAAACACCTCACAGCCTGTGTGGCCCTGAGAACTAACGAAAACAAACCTGTGTGGCAAACTTGAGGGCATAGATGACTATCACACTATAAATACTTGGAAATATTGAACTTTCTGTTCTGACTCCTGAAGTTCTTTGGACATAACTGAAAACATTACCTTGTGCTTTGCTTTTTAGCAAATACTACCAGATGAAGCAAAGAATTAGGCATCACAGATCCACACCCCTCCCAGAGTGACCCCACAGTCATTTGAAGAGAAGTGAGGACCCTGATCTTACACCCCCCACCTCCCCTCACCTGTCTGTCCCAGGCCAGTTCCCCCCAACTTCCCCCTTTCTCCCCTAACCCCCTCCTGTGGGGGAAGGGTGTAACTGAAAAGGTTCAAGAAGCTCGTGGCTTGTGGCCACTCCATTACAGGTAGGGAAGCAGAGGCCAATGATTTACCAAAAGTGTGGCAATTTGTGTCAGCTTTACCCAGAAGTCGTGGGGAAGAACGGTTCTGGATGCCATGCTGGAGCTCCAGCCAGTTGCTGCCAGAACTTTTTAAAGGTGGCAAGTGGGTTCAGTCACTGCTGGCCAAGGTGAAAACCAAATTGCCTCAGTCCGCTCAGAGTTGCTCAGCTCTTGGGGATGAGCAGACATTTGCAAACATCACACAAAATGGATATATTTGCCAGAATGCCAATACATGGATTTACTGGAGGTGGGAAAAGAGAAACCCTTTTCTTATGGGAGAATGCCATCTTCAGCATGTGATAACCCAGGAAACCAAGGTGGCTGTGAAATTGGGGCGTCGTGAGATGGGCCATTCCTCCTGCAGCACAGGCCATCAGAATGATGGTGGGGGCGGGGCCCTGTGCTAGAGACGGTCCAGTGTTGGTCACCTCCCTCCACCCATCACGAAGATTTCCCAGCGCTTCCTACCTTTAGGTCCTCGCCCTCTGAGGTCTAGAGCGCCCTCTGCTGGTGCCTGCAAACACTTGAAAGACTGTTAGGTCTCAAACTCAGAAGTGTTGCTGGCTTTCAATCCCTGCTTCCCTTGTCGCTACCCTCCGCCAGGCTAGCTAGCTCTTCTTCCCCTAGAGATAACCAGAAGCACTTCCGTTTCTTCCCTGTGGGTCTTGCTTAGGTACGGCACCTGGAACCCCAGAAGTGAGGGGGGGTGTCACAAGCTGCCATGCAGTAATGTGCTGCCTCCTTAATCCTCATGAAGCCCAAACCTCATCTCCAGGGAAAGAGGGCAGCACAGCATATGGTTCAGGACTGGACTTCTCCCAGGGCCACAGGTGCCCTCAAGCAAAGAGCTGTCCCCAGCACATAGTGGGGGGTGGCAAGGGGGCACAGCTCCCCTCTTGGAGGCTGATGGGGCTTTATCTGGGTCTTATACATAGGCATCTTATCCTAGAGCCCACAGCCTCTCCCTCCTGTTGGCCCCGAATGTGGGCCTCCCTCTCCGTCATCTCCCCTTCTACCTGGCAGAGCCCTGCACGGGAGAGGCCTGCAGGTTTCACTGGCCACACGGTCCCCTGCTGAGCTGCACGAGAGGCCCTCCACCAGCATTTGCTGTGTGAACACTGGACTTCTACCCGCCTGTCCTGCATGCCAATGATACTTCTCAACCCTCTTTCTACTCGCCTGCTTTTTCCTCCACCCTTGCTGATCTCAAGCCAGGAATAAATGCTACCTCCTCTACCTTCTCATTCGTCAATCCCCCCAAGTCCTGCCCTTAATGTCACTCAAAGCCACCTCCCCCTCCCACATGATTGTTCCGACCTGGGGCTGCTGCCCTCCAGCTGCACAGCCTCCTCTCCTGCCTCCCATCTCCTGCCTGACGTTCCTTCCACCCTGCCTCCCCTGGGCAGCCAGAGTGATTGTTCCCATCTGCAGCCTGGTGGGGTCACTCTCTTCCTCACACACTCCCATTGTTTCTATGTAAACCTAAGTGCGGAGGTGTCCTGCAAGCCCTTCCCCATCTGACACCACCCCTCCCTCCAGAGTCCCCATGCTCCAGCCACACTGAGCTCCCCTATTTCCCAAACATGCCTTCCTCCAGCAGGAAGGACATCCTTTGAGGATGCCCCTTTCTCGCCCATGGAAAGAGGCCAGGTCGCAGAGGGATAGTTCTCTTCCTAGGTTAGCAGCTTTCAAGCCAGACATTCTACCATGACCCTCCCCAGCCCCGTGCTCTAGCCTGGGTGTTAGGTGCAGGTGAGCCAGGGAAGGAGGCCGAGTTTAGAATCAGGGCTAGCCCTTTGGTTAGTGGAGAATGAGAGGGCAGATAGGGTCCAAGATCACGTGACTGTCTTGTGTCTCACAGTGCACTGTTAACACTTTCACACATCATCTCACTGCCTGGCATATTTGCATGTCTCCTAAAAACGATCGCACAAGCACCCTGGATGCGGTTTTGCTTAAGCCTTCATCCCCCTCCCGGCCTTGGGCAGAGCCTCACAATGGCTGAAGCTCATCTTGCCCTTGTTTTCTTCCCTGTTTGATGGGAGCTGGGGCTGAGCAAGAATTCTGAGGGGAGGCCAGTTCATGGAAGAATTAAATAGGCCAGTTTCAAGATTGCAGCTGGTACCTTGTCATTTCACGTTCTCAAGCGCCAACAGTGAGAACACTGGTAGGAGCTTGCCTTCCCATAGTATGCAGAGAAAGGGGAGTAAAAACAAATCTCACCAACCCATGGGATAAAGGAGGACCAGGCTGGGGAACAGCTGGGTTTTCTTGCTGGACACAGCACAGCCCACGGGTGTTTAAGTGAGTCACACAGGGCAAGAAGCCACCAGGGGGCACCATGAGCCTGACCAGGGCACCTATGGGGGGAGCAGGACACTGAGCCCCTGCCTAGTGCTCACTGACCTGTGGGAGGCCCAGCAGCTGTGTCCCCCTGGCCTGCCCCCACGAGCAGATCTAGTGTCTCTTCCTCCTGCCCTTGGCCTGAGCCATTCTGCAGGCCTGAAGCCAGACCTGCCCCCGGGGAACCCGGGTCCAGACGTAGGGCCCCAGGAGGTGAAACTCAGGGAGTCCCACTGGGTGTGTGGGTGTTGCCAGATTTTCACAATCTGTGTCCGTCATTAGTGGAATCAGCAGACCGTGAATAGGAAAGGCTAAAGGAGGCCCGGACAAGAGAGTGGACGAACAACCTCACAGCCACCTACGGAGCAGCGTGTGCTCTGAGTGCAGGACACTCTTCAAGCACACACGTGCTGGGCTACGTAGAAAGTGCCGGCAGGTGTCGAAGTCCTGAAGTGCAGAGTATGTTCTTGGAGAACCATGCAGTGATGCTAGAGACCAACCATGGCGACGTAACTAGAAAACCAGCCCCTGGCGCCATTCCTCTCCCCGTCCCTCTCCCCGTCATTCACCATTCAGGCCTGGGACTCCACCAGCAAGAACGCACATCCCATCCATGTAAGCAGAACTTTGGGCTCTGCCGGCAGCGTAGAGGTTTCACGTCTCAAGAGAGGAATGCTGTCCCTGGCTGGCGTAGCTCAGTGGATTGAGCGCAGGCTTCGAACCAAAGTGTCGCAGGTTCGATTCCCAGTCAGGGGACGTGCCTGGGTTGCAGGCCACGGCCCCCAGCAACCGCACATTGATGTTTCTCTCTCTCTTTCTCCCTCCCTCCCCTTTCTGAAAATAAATAAATAAAATCTTTTTAAAAAAAAGAAAAAGAGAGGAATGCTTCTTCCAGGGAGACAACAAGAAACCACCCTCGGGCCACTCTGGGCATCTCGTGCCCCTGAACAACAGCCTGACTCTTAGGGGCACTGCGGAGTCCCTACCCCGTTGGGGCCAGAAGGAGTGTGTCTGGAACCCTGAGTGCATCAGGGTCCCTTTGTGTCCTGTGATGACAGTGCATGCAAGGTATAGCCACCTCCTCCAGGCAGGAGCACTTATGGCCCAGGCCGTCAGGAGTAAAGGTTTGGGGGCAGCCCACCAGACTAACAACCCTGACCAGCTGAGGGGCTGGCCGAGGGCAAAGGGAATACAGGACAGGCGGGGAAGC